ATTCTCACCCTTTCTCTGTTCACCCTCCCGCTCTTCACCCTCCCTCTTGTCACTCCCTAACACCCTCATTCCTCTCTCTCTCTCTCTCTCTCTCTCTCTCTCTCTCCTTCTCTCTCTCTCTCTTCGGCTCTCTCGCTCTCTCTCTCTCTCTTCTCTCACCCTCCCTCCCTCTCACCCTCCCGCCTCGTCGCTCTTCCTCTTTCACCCTCCCCCCTCCCTCTCCCCCCCTCCCCCTCTCAACGCGCCCCCTCCTCCCTCTCGTCTCCCCTCTCTCTCTCGCTCTCTCTCTCTCTCTCTCTCTCTTCTCTCTTTCTCTCTTCTCTCTCACCCTCCCCCCCTCTCCCCTCTCCTCTCTCCCCCTCCCCCTCTCTCTCTTCCTTTCTCACCTCCCCCTCTCTCTCTCTCCCTCTCACCCTCACCCCTCTCCCTCTTTCTCTCTCACTCTCCCCCCTCTCTCCCTCTCCGACCTCACCCTCTCACCGTCTCTCTCATGCAGAGCATCTCAACGAGGGCTTCGTGATGTTTCTCCTCGACGCGATCGAGTCGCCTCCTCCGATCGACGAGGACGAGCAGATTCCCGACCTCTTTGTTAACATCGTGCTCGCCTTCACCTCCTTCCTGTTGCCCGGGGACAGCATTGTGATGCGCGTGCTCGCGGCGCCGCGGACGCGAAGATCTACACCGAGAAAGTGATGCTGCTAGTCAACAGGGGAGGTACGTATGTGTCTGTATGGTAGAGAGAGGGGGAGGTACGTATGTGTATGTATGGTAGGAGAGGTGGAGGTACGTATGTGTATGTATGGTAGAGAGAGGTGTAGGTTACGTATGTGTATGTGTGGTAGAGAGAGGGGGAGGTACGTATGTGTATGTATGTAGAGAGAGGGGAGGTACGTATGTGTATGTATGGTAGAGAGAGGGGAGGTACGTATGTGTATGTATGGTAGAGAGAGGGGTAGGTACGTATGTGTATGTGTGGTAGAGAGAGGGGGAGGTACGTATGTGTATGTATGGTAGAGAGAGGGGGTGGTACGTGTGTGTGTGTATGGTAGAGAGAGGGGGAGGTACGTATGTGTATGTATGGTAGAGAGAGGGGGAGGTACGTATGTGTCTGTATGGTAGAGAGAGGGGGAGGTACGTATGTGTATGTATGGTAGAGAGAGGGGGAGGTACGTATGTGTATGTATGGTAGAGAGAGGGGAGGTACGTATGTGTATGTATGGTAGAGAGAGGGGTGGTACGTGTGTGTGTGTGTGGTAGAGAGAGGGGGAGGTACGTATGTGTATGTATGTAGAGAGAGGGGAGGTACGTATGTGTCTGTATGGTAGAGAGAGAGGGAGGTACGTATGTGTATGTATGGTAGAGAGAGGGGTGGTACGTATGTGTGTTATGTAGAAGAGGGGGAGGTACGTATGTGTATGTATGGTAAGAGAGAGGGGGAGGTACGTATGTGTATGTATGGTAGAGAGAGGGGGTACGTATGTGTATGTATGGTAAGCAAGAGGGGGAGGTACGTATGTGTATGTGTGGTAGAGAGAGAGGAAGGGTACGTATGTGTATGTTATGGTAGAGAGAGAGGGGGAGGTACGTATGTGTATGTATGGTAGAGAGAGAGGGGTATGGTACGTATGTGTATGTATGGTAGAGAGAGAGGGGGAGGTACGTATGTGTATGTGTGGTAGAGAAGAGGGGGGTACGTATGTGTATGTATTGGTAGAGAGAGGGGGCTAGCCGTACGTATGTGTATGTGTGGTAGAGAGAAGAGGAAGGTACGTATGTGTAGGTATGGTAGAGAGAGGGGGAGGTACGTATGTGTATGTATGGTAGAGAGAGAGGGGAGGTATGTATGTGTATGTATGGTAGAGAGATAGGGTAGGTACGTAGTGTCTGTAAGGTAGAGAGAGGGGGAAGTACGTATGTGCATGTATGGTAGAGAGAGAAGGAGGGTACGTATGTGTATGTATGGTAGAGAGAGAGGGGAGGTACGTATATGTATGTATGGTAGAGAGAGGGGGAGGTACGTATGTTTATGTATGTAGAGAGAAAGGGAGCTACGTATGTGTATGTATGGTAGAGAGAGGGGGAGGTACGTATGTTTATGTATGGTAGAGAGAGAGGGAGGTACGCTATGTGTCTGTTATGTAGAGGAGAGGGGTGGTACGTATATCATTATGTATGTATGGTAGAGAGAGGGGGAGGTACGTATGGTTGTATGGTAGAGAGAGGGGGAGGTACTGTATGTGTAGTATGGTAGAGAGAGGGGGAGTACGTATGTGTATGTATCGGTAGAGAGAGGGGAGGTACGCTATGTGTATGTATGGTAGAGAGAGAGGGAGGTACGTATGTTTATCTGTATGGTAGAGAGAGGGGGAGGTACGTATGTGTATGTATGGTAGAGAGAGGGTACGTACGTATGTGTATGATGTGGTAGAGAGAGGGGGAGGTACGTATGTGTATGTATGGTAGAGAGAGGGGAGGTGGTACTGTGTATGTGTATGTAGAGAGAGGGGGAGTGTACGTATGTGTATGTATGGTAGAGGAGAGGGGGAGTACGTATGTGTCTGTATGGTAGAGAGAGGGGGAGGTACGTATGTGTATGTATGGTAGAGAGAGGGGGAGGTACGTATGGTATGTATGGTAGAGAGAGGGGCGAGGCTACCGTATGTGTATGTATGGTAGAGAGAGGGGGTGCGTTAGCGTGTGGTCGCTGTGTGTATGGTAGAGAGAGGGGGAGGTACGTATGTGTATGTATGGTAGAGAGAGGGAGGTACGTATGTGTCTGTATGGTTAGAGAGAGAGGGAGGTACGTATGTGTATGTATGGTAGAGAGAGGGGGTGGTACGTATGTGGTGTGTATGGTGAGAGAGGGGGGAGGTACGTATGTGTATGTATGGTAGAGAGAGAGGGGAGGTACGTATGTGTAATGTATGGTAGAGAAGAGGGGGTACGTATGTGTATGTATTGGTAGAGAGAGGGGGAGGTACGTATGTGCAATGTGTGGTAGAGAGAGAGGAAGGCTAGTATGTGTATGTATGGTAGAGAGAGAGGGGGAGGTACGTATGTGTATGTATGGTAGAGAGAGGGGGTGGTACGTATGTGTATGTATGGTAGAGAGAGAGGGGGAGGTACGTATGTGTATGTGTGGTAGAGAGAGAGGGGGGTACGTATGTGTATGTATGGTAGAGAGAGGGGGAGGTAACGTATGTGTATGTGTGGTAGAGAGAGAGGAAGGTACGTATGTGTATGTATGGTAGAGAGAGGGAGGTACGTCATGTGTATGTATTAGGAGAGAGAGGGAGGTATGTATGTGTATGTAATGGTAGAGAGATAGGGTAGTAGCGTATGTGTCTGTATGGTAGAGAGAGGGGAAGTACGTATGTGCATGTATGGTAGAGAGAGAAGGAGGTACGTATGTGTATGTATGGTAGAGAGAGAGGGGGAGGTACGTATATGTATGTATGGTAGAGAGAGGGGGACGGTACGTATGTTTATGTATGGTAGAGAGAAAGGGAGGTACGTATGTGTATGTATGGTAGAGAGAGGGGGAGGTACGTATGTTTATGTATGGTAGAGAGAGAGGAGGTACGTATGTGTCTGTATGGTAGAGAGAGAGGGTGGTACGTATATCATTATGTATGTATGGTAGAGAGAGGGGGAGGTACGTATGTGTATGTATGGTAGAGAGAGGGGGAGGTACGTATGTGTATGTATGGTAGAGAGAGGGGAGGTACGTATGTGTATGTATGGTAGAGAGAGGGGAGGTACGTATGTGTATGTATGGTAAGAGAGAGGAGGTACGTATGTTTATGTATGGTAGAGAGAGGGGAGGTACGTATGTGTATGTATGTAGAGAGAGGGGGAGGTGCGGTATGTGTATGTATGGTAGAGAGAGAGGGAGGTACGTATGTATATGTATGGTAGAGAGAGAGGGGGGTACGTATGTTTATGTATGGTAGAGAGAAAGGGAGGTGCGTATATGTACAGTAGAGAGAGGGGGAGGTGCGTATGTTTATGTATGGTAGAGAGAAGGAGGTACGTATGTGTATGTATTGGTAGAGAGGAAGCGGAGGTGCGAATGTACAGTAGAGCTAGCAGGGGCGAGGTGCTATATGTACAGTAGAGAAGGGGAGGTACGTATATATGTATATATTATATATATAGTAAAAAGTAATGAAGTGTTATTTATCCTCAGGGAGGCAAACCTACGTCTTGCCTACGACTATGTGAAGAGGCTTGTGTACAGGCTATGTATTACGTTCGCCGGTTATATCGATTTGCGAGTATTATCGAGACATACACGCGTACGGTCGACGCTTGCCCGTCGCGGCACCAGGTGGCGCTGTCTGTAACGCGTCTGCTTGCTTGTTGTGCAGACGACCCGGTGCGGATGTTTGAGCACGAGCCGAAGCCGCCCAACTCTGTGCTGAAATTCCTAGCGGACGTCTACTCGAGTGAGAAAACATCCGACCTGCTCTACACGAACGACGCCATGGTCCTCATCGATATCATTGTACGCCACCTGTCCGACCTCGCGCCCGGCGACAAGGTAAGCTACTGCACAGCGCCACCTATAAACAGTAGTTGTACGACAGCAGTACAGCGCCACCTATAAACCGTAGTTGTACGACAGCATGTAGCCGGCCACTATAAACAGTGCTTGTGCGAACAGCATGCATGCCACTATAAACAGTTAGGTTGTACGACACAGTGCAGTGCCATCCTTACAACAGTTATAGTTGTACGACAGCAGTGCAGTGCCACCTATAAACAGTAGTTGTACGACAGCAGTGCAGTGCCACCTATAAACAGTAGTTGTACGACAGCAGTGCAGTGCCACCTATAAACAGTAGTTGTGCGACAGCAGTGCAGCGTCACCTGTGAGCATTGAGGTGAAGACGCACTGCAGCGACAACTGCGCGCGTTACCGAGACGTTCTTGTGTCGTTGCAGTAGCGCCACCTGCGAGCGTTACCGAGACGTTCTTGTGTCGTTGCAGTAGCGCCACCTGCGAGCGTTAACGAGACGTTCTTGTGTCATTGCAGTAGCGCCACCTGCGCGCATTAATGACGTTCTTGTGTTGTTGCAGCTGCGCACGGAGTATCTGTCGCTGATCTACAGCGTGATCAAGTACTCGCGCTATGAGGAGCACCAGCACCGGCGGGCGGAGCTCCACCGCTGCTTCACGCGGATCTACAGCGAGCAGGACGTTGACAACGAGGGCGACCGCTACATCATCAAGTCCATCTGGATCGACTTTCCGCGATGTTTCTCCGGGCCGGACGGCGGCGGGGCCGAGCCGCGATGCGTTGCCGGGGGCGAGGAGCAGCTGGGGGGACGCTGAGCGGGCGTCGGCGGCGGCGGTAGGGGTCTCTGCGACGTGCGGTTGTGTTTTGCTTTTGGGTTTTGCTCGACGCAGGGGGGGGGCAGCGCGCCGGGGTTGCGGCGTGGTTTAACCGACGTCGCGATGTTTTTTGGCCGTCGACGACGGGGATCGGTTTCCAGGTGGCGCCACCGCACGGCCGCAGGGAGCGCGAGAGAGCGAGCACGGAGTGGAGGCTTCTTTGGAATAGATACTCAATACGTACATGCTAGCTTCATAGAAGGGGGGATAAATCTTACTCACTACTACTGCTGCCCTCGTGTGGTGTGAAACGTATTCGATTTAATTTTTTTTTTTGCTGTAAGACATGGTTTTTATCGTCCCCGATTAGAAAGATCGGCCTAAAACAACCGAAACAGTGGGTCGCAGAGTGTGTAGCTGACGTGATCATTGTGCTTACATTGCTGTTTGTCATTGCACGCTTGTTGATGTGTGTGTGTAACTTATATCTGTATATATATGTGTGTGTGCGTGTATATATAATGCGGCGCGAGGTATGAGCCGAGAAGTGAAAGGGGTTTCGAGCCGCTGATGATTTGATGGTTTTACCGTCGATATCCCTCTGCCTCGTCACGCGGACAAACGTGATGTCTGCATGCCTGGTTTAAACGCGGACAAGTAATGCCTTGACACTCGTCGCGTCCTCTGTCGAATATAGTGTATACGCCATATTTTTCGCGTACAGATTGTTTCGCGAATTCACACTTGACGGACAATTTTGCGAGTGGTTAATTTCGCGGTCGGTGAATTGTGAATTATTCGGTATTATTCGGTATGAATTATTCGCGTGTTGTTATTTTCGCGTCGGGGACGCGTTCGCGAAATTCGCGGAAATTAAACCACCACGAAATATACAGCTTACACGGCAGTTGCCTTATCTAGTGATCGCTGGCGGTGTTGTGCCAACCGTTCGTGCGTGTGATGGCTGATTGATGTCCTGTAAAGGATTATAGGAGCGAATGAAAGTTACACAGAATAACTACAATACTATCTCTCTCTCTCTCTCTCTCTCTCTCTCT